GGACATCACCCATAGAAATTTCATACAGTGTTCCTCAGAGAAATTCTGTAGATTTTTACCTGAAAGATGAATTTCCATTTACGATTAGGAGAGATAATATAAGACTGGTTTTTAACTCAAAATGCGGGCAAACTTTATTTACCAGCTCTCCCCTCAGTTCCAACAATGCCTCATCCTCCTTGCTATGGGGCACCCCGTACCACAAACCAGCAAGGCACCCCCCTAATGACCACTGTGAGGACCACACCACTCCTGGCCATGGCTTCACATGCTGAGGAGCACTTTAGTTTTATAGGATACCTATGGTAAGTCATTTATTCATTCTTTCCCAAGAAAAAAAACATTTATTTGAGTATTTTTTTTGCAAGGTCTTCTGGTCATTAAAAACAATGACCAATGACCTGGGTAGCTCATTCGGTTAAGCATCTGCCTTTGGCTCAGGTCATGATCCCGGGGTCCTGGGATTGAACCCCACATCAGGATCCCTGCTTGGCGGGGAGTCTGCTTCTCCCTCTCCCTCTGCCCCTCCCCTGAGCTTGTGGGTAAGCTCGCTCTCTGTCTCTCTCTCTCTTAAATAAATAAAATCTTTTAAAAAAAGAAAATAAGTGACCAGACAAATCCTCTGCATTTTACTCAAGGCAGGAGAAAGTAATGCAGTACTCGCCAGTTTTTCTGTTTTTAGTTGTTTGTTTTTTTCAGATACAGGCCAGGACATGTTACAAATTCCTGCAATTTAAGGGTTTTCTACAATCTGGTCCCAACAGGCTTTCCAATTTTATTTCCCATTCACACACTAGGCAGGTGAGATCTAAGTGCTGTATATGAAACATCCTCCAGACCTCACACTACACACCCCCCCCCCCACAGGAAACTGTCCAGCTGCGGTGCTCAAGGCAAACGCTAACCTTTCCCCCATTTCTCATGCCTCTCTTTTGGACCCTTTGCTCAAAATAAACAGAAAAATCAGTGGGATTTCCACCCTATGAGCTGGACGACTTCTCTCTTTATTGAAAAGATTTTTTTAATAGTGAATTATTATCTACAAGCGTTTTACTTTTCCACTCAACAATAAGCTTGAGAATAGAAAACAATGTCTAATTCAGCTTTACGTATCTGCAACATTTAGCAGAACGTTATTGCTTACTTGTTTTTTTTTTTTAAAGATTTTATTTATTTATTTGAGACAGAGAGAATGAGAGAGAGAGAGCACATGAGAGGGGGGAGGGTCAGAGGGAGAAGCAGGCTCCCTGCCGAGCAGGGAGCCCGACGCGGGACTCGATCCAGGGACTCCAGGATCATGACCTGAGCCGAAAGCAGTCACTTAACCAACCGAGCCACCCAGGCGCCCTATTGCTTACTTGTTAAATAAACAAGTGACTAAATGAAGGACGAGGAATGAGAAAAGGGGACCAAATGCCCCAACAACACTAAGCTTGGCAAGAGAGTTCATACCCAAGGTCTGTAACTCCCTGCTCTGCTCACAGAAAACCACCCGCTCATGTCCACTGATGAAACTGACAAGGACCTTCAGCACCATTATCGGCAACAAAGATTCTGAGACCAACGTTCTGTGCCCTGGCAAAAGCCGTCTATTTCTCACTCTTATTTTCTTTTAATTTTTTTAAACATTTTTTTAAAAGATTGTATTTATTTATTAGACAGAGAGAGAGCACAAGCAGGAGGAGTGGCAGAAGGAGAGGGAGAAGCAGGCTCCCCGCTGAGCAGGGCACGACGAGGGATGATCCCAGGACCCTGGGATCATGACCTGAGCTGAAGGCAGACGCTTAACTGACTGAGCCACCCAGGCACCCCTTCTTTTAAATTTTTTAATGTACCAACCATCTTTAGGAACCACTCTGTTTTTACACCTGGGGATCTGGGGCATCAGCCAGCTCACTGCAGTAACAGCAGTTACACATACAAACAGCATATCCTGAGCTCAGTGCTGTTTGTCATCCTACACCAGGCTACGGAAGCCAAAATGCCCTCATCCTCATCAACAGGAAATCAGTGGGTGTGCCACATCTGAGCGGGCTCTGTAACTGCACCCCCCCTGCCCCCCGCCCCTGGTGAGAAGCTGTGTAAGGGACACATACAGTCCCAGGAGCAATTCCTTCCAAACAGCAAATCTGCATCTAAGTGGCTTCTGGTAGCTCGAAGATCTACACTCCTCATACATCAATTCAGAACAACACTGATTCAGCGCCGGGCATGGAATTAAAAAAAGAACCTCAGGCTGCAATTACCTTCATCGTCGGGTCAGCACTGCTGGGCGGACGCGGTCTGAGTCGGAGCAGGAACCCAGGTCCTCTCTCTTCTGTCCCCTGTGAGTCCCCAACACTCACAGCACAGTGTTAACTGCCGTTTACAGACGGAGACTACGTTAAGGCCACAATGGGCTCCCTGCTGAAAGACTTGGTTCAGAAACTCTAGGCCCCACAGGACTCTCTCTAAAAAGCTGCTGGAATTTCTCAAAGATGGCATACCCTAGAAAAGGGGTTTTCAATATAAACTGCAAAAAACAGCATCCACAAGAATCCGGGATGATCAGGGGCTGGCCCGCCCAAGCCCTTCCGTGGCGGCCCTGTTGGCTCGAACCTGTTGGCTTGAAACTAACACCAGCCTCGCTGGGGGATTCCAGCCACAACATTAATCTGTCTACAGTCAGTCCTTACAGATGAGATCTCCACTCCAGTCAAAGACAGCCCATACACGTTTCCTCTCTTTCTACTGCGGATAACCCGAGCAGAAAGAGGCAAGAATCAAATGGTCATTCACGTCCAAGGAAACCAAGGAACTAACACATCAGTTCTAGATGCGCTCCTGTCTGCTCCACTCTTCACAGAGGATCACAGGAAGCCCGTGACTACGGTTAGTTCTTGGCTCCCCGTGTACTCAATTTGCTGAATGGGCCTGCATCTCCTGAGGGCGGGCTACTGCACAAATGAGCTGAGCTCACAGGTCAGCTGGCTGCATTCTGAGCCACTCAGGACAGTGGTGGTGGTCTGGGGCATATAATCCCCCCACTGAGAGTAACAACACGCAAACACAACAGCTATCACTTGCTGAGAACTTCACACAGATGATCTCATTTAACCCTCAAACCCTTGGCACACAAGGGTTCAAGAAAGGGTAGGACCTACCTCTCAGGGTCAGCCCCACCTCCCTTTAGACTAATGCCCCCATCCCCTCCCCCCCCCACCTTGGGGGCCACATGAGGGAGCCGGGTTAACAATGGAGCTTGTACTACCCCAGACCTCCTGCAGGGGGCTCTTTGAAGGCCAGACCCAGGAATATGCATTTTCCCAAGGTCAGCAGGCGAGTCTTCAGCATCGGGAAGTTTGAGAACCATTTTCCTAACCAGGGTACTTATCAATGAGTCTCAAATGCCAGTAGGATGCTTCTTATCTAGAAAAGCAAAGATGCGGAATAGCAAGCCACAATCCTTGCCCAGGCTCCTCAGGACCTGCTACTCTTGCTGGCACTTTTTTCAGTCAGATATGTAAATAAGGATGGTGTTTTGTTCTGCTCTAACCTGATCAAGAGACTAAAGCTAACAAATATAAATTTCTGGATACCTGACCAAAACCAAAAGAAGACCAAAAAGCCCTAAACCCAATGTAGCTTATTCCTAGGGCCTCACATGTTTTAAGCACCCAGTATGGAATCAGTAAACCTTCATCATGGACAGTCAAGATATGCCCAAAACAACCCTGCAGTTTCTTCCTTTACCTTCTTATACTCTTATGTTTCTATTTAAACAAAACAAAAAAAGGTCTTCCCTTCCAGAGCACCAGCTGTTTGTTTTTTATTAACAGAGGATTGGCTTCTCTGGAAAACAAAATGGGAAAATCTTCCTTCGTTTCAAGTACTGGGCTGGGGATGCCTCTGGTATTGTTGAGGGAACACAAAAGTGAGGGGAAGGCAGACTCTCACTTCTGAGTACAACTCAAAGTTGACTGAAAAATTGTTTATCAAAGTCATTTAAGTTCTTTCCTTTGTGTAATTTTTCACCTTAGCAAGAAAATGGGACTACCATTTTCTGGTTCACTGCCAAAGTAAAGCAAGGTAATTTTTCATAAAACATCAAGCTGCACAGGAGAGGGAAGACGAGAATCCCGTTTTTGGAATTCCTGACACGTAAGGAGCTGGGCCAGACACATATAGACGTGGACTTCCTTAGAGTGACCTATTCAGGTGAGGCGCGAAACCGTATCTTCCAGGTGAGAAATCAAGGCTCATGACCTGAGCCGAAGGCAGTCGCTTAACCAACTGAGCCACCCAGGCGCCCCTACCTTTTTTTTTTTTAATAGTTAAGGATCAAGCAGATCAGGTAAGCCTATTTACCCCTTTTTGTTTGTTTTGTGTGGAAACAATTCAAAGAGGTCCTGGGTCCGATAGCCATTATATGGGGCTCCTGGGTGGCTCAGTCTGTTAAGCATCTGC